GTGGGGTGCCCGGGGCTGATCCGGGGGCCCGCAGCGCCGGGGTGTGGAGGGACAGTGTCAAGGGACAGAGGGAGCCAGGAGGGCGTGCGTGGTGGCCGGAGGGGCGAGGTGCCGGGGGTCGGGAGGGAAGAGGGAAATGGGGAGTGAGGGGTCTGAGATTCGGGAGGGGGCGGCTGCATGGGCAGGAAGAGGGGGCTGAGAGTGGAAGGGGCTGGAGAGGAAGCCGGAAGGAGGGGCTCTGGTGGGCACCCCGAGGGCCGGGGCGTGGGAGAGGTGGGAGTCTCGGGGGTCGGGCGTGGCCGCCTGGGCGCGGAGGAGGGTGGGGTGTAGGTGGCCTGTGGCCATCATCGGGTACCCCCTGGACTGCTGAGGGTAGTGCTTCCGAGTCTGGGGCGCCGGGGGAAGGATGGTTTCCACTCTTCGGGAGGGCTTGGTGTTCGGGACCCCCCGAGTGGGAAACTTCTAGACCCGGGGAGAGGCTGGGGCCGGCGCGGGGCGCCTGGGGGAAACGGGAACGGGGAGGGCCCCTTCCTGATGCCCAGCTTGGAAGTCCTGGGTCGCCCAGCCTCGTTTCTCGCTCACTCTGGTCGTCTTCTTTCTGGGGATGCGAGAAGCTGGTCACACTCGCAGAAGCTGGTTTCAAAACTGACATTTCAGTGGAAAAAAAAAAATCACCAACGTGTGCGCCCAGGGTCCCTTCTCTTTGTAGCTGGTGGTTTTTCTTTCAGTTGTTACTCTTTCTTCTCTGTTCTCAGATTCCTCCCCACATTTTGCTATTCTGTTTCAGCGGGCTTTGTCTCCCAGGGCTCCGGGTCCTCCCGGGAGCCACCCAGGGGGCCAGTTCCTAGCTTGGCCTGGCGTGTGAATTTTTTTGCCACTCTGGGAACCTTGGTGTTGGAAAGGGAAGTGTGTGGAGTGGTGGGTTTGCTCGGCGTGGGTTTGCACGGGGCTGTCTTCTGCATTGCCGCTTTGGGAATGGACTGAAAGCAGTCGTGTCTGGAAACGTGTGGCATCTCTTACTGGAGCCGAGCTGGGGTCTTGGGCCACCCAGGATCCGTGTCCCCGGTGTGCTCAGCTGGACCTCAAACCTGAGCAAGCTCATTCATCTGGCAAGTGTTAGTGGCCAGCTCTGTCCCGTGCAGGGTGGAGCAGGGCCGTGTTTCTCAAACTGGGGTCTCAGGGAAGCTGGGAAGCTTATCCTCCGAAGAGTTCCAGGAGAGTTGCTTTTTATTTTTTTTTTTAAGGTTTTTGCCATAGGGTGCATCTGCTCACAGAGACACAAAGACGGAGAGTGAGAAACCATCCCCTAGCCGCAATCCTTTCTCTTCCATCCTCCTCTTGGGATTCTGGGCATGGATGCACATGCACCCAGTGAGTTTCAAGCCCCAGGCCAGGACTCGAACTCAGGTTGGCCATGTGGGAGTCCAGCGCCTTAACCACTACACCACCTGCTGGCCCCTTCTTTCTTTCTTTCTTTTTTTTTAATTTGCTTGCTGGACAAAGAAAAAGTGAGGAAGCTCCCCTCACATGGGGAGTGGTCACACCGCAGTCCTTTTCTCTGTCTCTCCCCCTTTCGAGATTTTGGGCCTGCACGCTGTCGCGCCTGTTGTGTGTCTCAAGCTGCTGGGTCTCACTCGGACCACAGTCATCCACGTAGGATCCAGCTCACGCAAGCACAGGCCACCAGCTGGCCCTGATTGAGCTTTTACAGAACAGTGTCGTAGGCCCAGTCTGACGGCGCAGCCCCTGGCGTGCTAGACCGCAGTGCTCGAAGCCACATGTGGGCTACAAGTCGGTGTCCTGGTTCGGCCTAACACCGTGCTGGGTGTGTGCTCGTGGGATCTATGATCTTGAGGGGCCGGGGCGAGGGGGTCGCTGCCTGAGACCCAGTCAGAGATGCTTTCTCTCTCTCTCACTCAAGCATGCGTATGCACCTGCTACCTTAAACTTTTTGTTTAGAGCTGTTTTAGATATATAGCATTAGATTTCTGAATTTTCACTATTACTGTCTTACTCTGGGAGAGTTTTTACGTATCATTTTGTTTTATTAGAAGTATCGAAAGTGGGAGGGGCCAGCAGTTAGTGTAATGGCTCTGTCGCTGGACTCCCACGTAGTTGACGGCGATTTGAGTCCCGGACCTGGTGGCTTAAACTCACGCCGGGTGCGTGTGCGTGTGTGCTCAAGATCCCAAGAGGAGAATGGAGGAGAAGGGATTGCAGCCTAGCCATTCCCCCTGGGGGTGAATTCTCGCTTTCTGTCTCTCTGTCTCTGTCTGTCTGGCGAGTGCACGTGCCCTATAGCAAAAACATCTCAAACAAAAACAAAAACAAAACAACAAAAAAAGAAATATTGAAGGTAGGGATCAGCAGATGGTGTAATGGTTATGTCCCTGGACTCCTACACAGTCAGTTGCTTTTCTACTCCCAGACCGGGAGGCTTAAAAGTCTCGACAGGTGTGTGTGCGTGCACAAAATCCCGAGAGGAGGATGGAGGGGAAAGAATTGCAGGGTGGCCATCCCTCCTGTAGGGTGATTTCTTGCTTTCTGTCTCTGTCTCTCCAGAGAGTGCATGTGCCCTACAGCAAAAAAAACGAAAAAGAAAAAAATTTTGAAGATATTACTAGTCACAAAAACGTACTTGTCTAAGAAGTAATTCATGGGGCCAGCAGGTGGCATGGTGGTTAAGGTGCTAGACTCTCCCACGTGGTCCACTGTGGTTCGACTCCTGGACCCAGTGGCTTGAAATTCACATTGGGTACATGTGTGTGCATAGCCAAAATCCCAAGAGGAGAATAGAGGAGAAGGGATTGCCATGTGGCCATCCCCGCTGGGGGGTGATTTCTCACTTTCTGTCTCTCTGTCTCTCTGTTTCTTTAGCGAGTGTACGTGCCCTTTGGCAAACATTTCTGAAAAAAAAATCGCAACTGTTCATATTTTTTTCTTTTGTTTATTTCTTCCATGAAAGAGACAGACAGACAGACAACCCCAAGAACCTTCATGACACAGCTCACCTCTCCATCCCAGGCCAGCCCAGATCATGGGATATGCACACCCGGGCGTGTACAGGGAAGCCCCAGGACATAAACCAGGGCCCTTCCCATTTGGGTCCAATCGCATTAGTGGTGTGCACTGTCTGGCTCC